CGTGCAGCTCAATAAGGAGCTTTGGTTTCACTTCCGCATCGTTCCTCATGCAAATCACGGTTGCTTCTGCAGCCTGCACACTTCCTGTAAATGCTCTTTATGTGTGTGTGTGTGTCTGTGTCTATATTTGCATTGGTCCATGCTTGTTTAATCCACGTCAGTGATAAGAAAGAGCACTCGTGTGTGTCTGTGTGCTTGTTCATCCGAGTGAAACTGTATGTGTTTGCATTTCTGAAGCTGTTGTGTGTTCTCTGGTAGTTTGAGGGTTTTATCTGCTTCTCTAATCAGCCACAGTTTCTACACACGGTCGCACAAACAGCGATAAACCTCCGAAATAAACACGAGTAACAAGACTGAGCGTCTGCAGCCATGCTAGCGTCTTCTCTGAGGCCTGCACTCGTGCTTTGGGCTAAAAGCTAACGTCAGCATAATAGATTGATTATAATTTTAACCAAACTTTCCAGAATAATGAAAACATGTGTGATGATATGTGCTTTGATCTTTTGGAGGTGGCAGGGTTTATACTGCAGCAGTCACCAGGGGGCGATCAAGACAATACAGGCTGAAAACAACGAGTCTCAGCACTCGACACCAAACTCACTTGTGGCTAATGTTCTAAATGTTAACGTTAGAATGTGACGTGAAAACGTGGGATGGAAAACAAGCGTGAGAATTGAGCCGTCGTCTTCGTTCATAAATCTAAACGTGTGTCAGTGAGAGACGATGGAGTCCGAGGGTCACTCGTGGCTGCAGGATGAGGTGGAGACGCCTCAGGTGGACACTCGTTCAGAGAAAGACAGGATGTCTGTGGGAGGAGAAGAGGAGTGATGAATGGAGGGAGGACAAGGTCAAGAGAGGGGAGGAGGGATTGTGATTGGCCGCTGTCACCTCAGCCACCCGTCTTTGTTCTTCCATCCCTTTCAGCACCCTTCACTCTGTCATCTTTCATTTTCCCCATTCATCCCTCCTTTCTTTTATTCCTCCTTTTTGTCTTTATTGCCCTGACATCCTTACCCTCCTTCTCCTTATCCCTCAGTCATTTTCATCTTTTGGCCTCTGTCTTCCCTTTCTTTTCCCGTTCCTCGATCTCTCCCCTTCTTATTCCTTTTTCCTTTGCTCTTCTTCCATCGTTGTCTTTAATTTTCTCCCTCCATTCATAATTTTCTATCCCTCCTTCTGTCTGCATCCTTTGCCTCATCTTTCTATCAAATTTTTCCCTCCACCTCTGCTTTTTGTCATCCATCTATCTCTCCCTGTTTTTAATTTTCGTACTTTCTCTCTCTAGATCCCTCACATCTCTCTCATCCTTGCCCTCCGTCTCCTCATCCCTCCTTC